CCCCCCCCCCCCCCCCCGCACATTTCCCTGTTCCTCCACTGACACTCTCCCAAACCTGTTAATTATTAAAGGAGGATAATGAAGGAAAACGTGCCTCAAAGTCCAGTGTGAGAGAGAGAGCGAAAGAGAGAGAGAATCGGCACTTCCTTCGCAGCCATGAGCCAGCCCACCCTGGCCTCCACAGAGCTACCAGGACAGAAGAGCCTCACCTTCGAGGTGGTGGACATTGTGGTTATCGTCATTTACTTCGTCTTCGTCCTCGCCATTGGGATATGGGTGAGTCCAGCGGCCAGGCAGTGTGTGTAATAAGCCGCCGGCATCTCCCGGGTGCAAAGATTGCGGCGTATCAACAGCCTGCTTTTCTATTTGCCCGTGGCGTTTACAGGAGCCAGGAGCAGGCCTGGATGGTTCCGCAGGGGGGTTGGGAGCAGGCACATTCCCCCACACTTGTGTGTATCTTTGCAGGAGGCAGCTCTCATTCTGTTCCTTGTAACCCTCTGACCAGCATTCAGGGAAGGGTGGTGCCCTCAGAACTGCTGGGTCCCCTCGTGGGCTGGGGAGCAAGGGGGGGGCGGAGGCATCCTGGGGGAATGGATGCTGAAAACGGAGCTAGGGGATTTTTGTGGTGTAAGAGAAAAGGACTTGAATTGAGCAAATCTGGAACGATTTTTATTTTATCCCCATGTTCTTTGACCCAGATCCTTTGGAAGACAGGCCTAGTGGTGTAGCTGGGGAAATAGGTTTGTATTCCCAACATGTGCACTTATGGGGAGATGGCTAACTGGACTAGAAGCCCCTTTACCCAGTCAAAAGGCAGCTCCTTGCAGCCATCCTCCTTAGGAAGGGGAGGAAGGAAAATGGAAAAGCTCGGCCAGAACTCTGCAGCTCCCAGTCTCCCTGGGTCTGCTGCAAGCGAGGACCAAACCTTTAGATGCCTCCAAGCAGCCGGGCTGCTATGTGTTCTGGGTACCGGGATGCAACTGAGCATGCTGTGCAAATCAGAGCTGAGCAACGACTCCCTGCGGGATAGGAAACTCAGGGTGAGAGATCCTGACAGACCCAGGAGCTTTGCAACTTGCAAAGTAACAACCAGACCTTGGCACAGAACCAGAGAGGCTAGTTAGCTCAGGATCGTCTGAATAAAGGGTTAATAATGAATCATAGAATCATAGAATAATAGGACTGGAAGGGACCTCGAGAGGTCATCGAGTCCAGCCCCCCGCCCTCAAGGCAGGACCAAGCTCCACCTACACCATCCCTGACAGATGTCTATCTAACCTGTTCTTAAATATCTCCAGAGAGGGAGATTCCACCACCTCCCTTGGCAATTTATTCCAATATTTGACAACCCTGACAGTTAGGAATTTTTTCCTAATGTCCAATCTAAACCTCCCCTGCTGCACTTTAAGCCCATTACTCCTTGTCCTGTCCTCAGAAACCAAGAGGAACAATTTTTCTCCTTCCTCCATGTGACACCCTTTTAGATATTTGAAAACCGCTATCATGTCCCCCCTTAATCTTCTTTTTTCCAAACTAAACAAGCCCAGTTCATGAAGCCTGGCTTCATAGGTCATGTTCTCTAAACCTTTAATCATTCTTGTCGCTCTTCTCTGTACCCTTTCCAATTTCTCCACTTCTTTCTTGAAATGTGGCGCCCAGAACTGGACACAGTACTCCAGCTGAGGCCTAACTAGTGCAGAGTAGAGCGGCAGAATGACTTCACGAGTTTTGCTTACAACACACCTGTTGATACAACCTAGAATCATATTTGCTTTTTTTGCAACAGCATCCCACTGTTGACTCATATTCAACTTGTCGTCCACTATGACCCCTAGATCCCTTTCCACCATGCTCCTTCCTAGACAGTCGCTTCCCATCTTGTATGTATGGAACTGATTGTTCCTTCCTAAGTGGAGCACTTTGCATTTCTCTTTATTAAACCTCATCCTGTTTACCTCTGACCATTTCTCTAACTTGCTAAGGTCATTTTGAAGTATGTCCCTATCCTCCAAAGAAGTTGCAACCCCACCCAGTTTGGTATCATCTGCAAACTTAATAAGCGTACTCTCTATCCCAATATCTACATCATTGATGAAGATATTGAACAGTACGGGTCCCAAAACAGACCCTTGAGGAACTCCACTTGTTATCCCTTTCCAGCAGGATTTAGAACCGTTAACAACAACTCTCTGACTACGGTTATCCAGCCAATTATGCACCCACCTTATCGTGGCCCTATCTAAGTTATATTTGCCTAGTTTATCAATAAGAATATCATGCGAGACCGTATCAAATGCCTTACTAAAGTCTAGGTATATGACATCCACCGCTTCTCCCTTATCCACAAGGCTCGTTATCTTATCAAAGAAAGCTATCAGATTAGTTTGGCATGACTTGTTCTTCATAAACCCATGCTGGCTATTCCCTATCACTTTATTATCTTCCAAGTGTTTGCATATGATTTCCTTAATTACCTGCTCCATTATCTTCCCTGGGACAGACGTTAAACTGACCGGTCTATAGTTTCCTGGGTTGTTCTTATTCCCCTTTTTATAGATGGGTACAATATATGCGCTTTTCCAGTCTTCTGGAATCTCCCCCGTCTGCCATGATTTTTCAAAGATCATAGCTAAAGGCTCAGATACCTCCTCTATCAGCTCCTTGAGCGTGAAGCAGTCCCTTGCTCTCTGGCCAGAAGCATTGGCTGTGTGGGTGCAGGGGACCAGGCATGCGTTTCAACCTTGCAATGAGACGTGGGGAAGGACTGGCTCTCCTAAGGCTCAGTTCTGTCCACAGTCCCTTCTAGGGTAGTAGTAGAGTAGTAGACTCTATAGTAGACTGACCAGGGTCGCTAGCAGGTGAGTTCTCAGGAATGGTTGGGCGGTGGCCTGAGGTTTCACCCTGTTGGATCGCAGGGTGTCATTTCCCCATTTTAACTCTGGCCGTGAGCGTCTGCAGAATGGTTAATTGAATCCTCCAGAAGCCAGAGGATAGGGGTGAGCTGAGCTGGGTATGGAGAGATACATGTGGAACCTCTCTAGTCCGGCACTGTCTGGTCTGGAAATATCCATCGTCCACCATGATTTAATTAGCCGCATTCCATGTACCATGGGTGTGGCCAAGTTTCCCGCTGACCCGTAAAGTTTGTTTACAGCCACCAGTCCTGGCTCTCAGTGTTCTGTGCTGTTATTTAGCTCTAAATTACCCCTCAATATCTTCCCTGAGCCCAGCAAGCAGTGAAGTGTTGGTGATGCCGCTAGACAATATTGACCTCCCGTGTTGCAGTGAATTCTCTGGTTCGGCAACTGTTAGGTCCCGAGGGTGCCGGACTAGAGAGGTCCAACCTGTTGTAAATTCTAGCAGTAGCTGGGAGGGTAGAACTGAGATATCTCCCGACATGCTGTTGGCAGGACACCTCAAGAGAGGGGGGCCAGTGTGATGGATGGGAGTGTGGGAGAAAGCACGTAATGCTTTTTCTGTATTTCAGTCATCCATACGGGCAAGCCGGGGAACCGTTGGAGGGTATTTCCTCGCCGGACGGTCCATGACATGGTGGCCTGTAAGTCTCGTGCTTTCATTTGTTACTTTCAAATTGGGTTTCAAGTGAATCCAGGTACTTGCTGGAAAGGTCTGAGGGCAGGCACAGCAAAGGGATACCCACCTGCCCATATCTGGGCCTAATCCCCTCAGACCTGAACTACAGGGACCCCTACTTGGAGGCCAAGGACAGTAGAGTCTCCCTGGTCTATCAGTTCGTTCAGCTTTTTTGCTCAGGTCAGCGCATGAGGTACCTGGTGAGGTAGGTTCTGTGATGGGCCCCCATCTCCGCTCCTAGCTGTAGAATCTCTCGCTGTTCCCAGCTCACATCCATGGGTGCACTAAAGGTGCGTCTACAGTGCTGGGCTTAACTCGAAATAAGCTACGCCACTTGAGCGACATCAGATTCGATTATTCGAAATTGGGAGCATCTCCACAGCACTTATTTCGAAATATAACACTCCCTCCGACTTTCCTTAGTCCTCATACAATGAGGGGTACAGGAGTCGGAGTAAGAAGTCCTCCAGCTTGACAGTATTTTGACACTATTTCGAAATAACGGCCTGCTGTGTAGACGCGGACGACGTTATTTCAGAATAGCGCTCGTTATTTTGGAATAGTGTTGCAGTGTAGACGTACCCTAGATGACTCTGGTCTACATGGGGAGGTAAAAATCATCTGTAGCCTGCGAAGAAAATAATCGCGTGGTCGGGCCCGTCACTTCTTCCCTCCTTGTGTGGAGTAAAGTCCGCACGATTGACCATGTGAAGAGTAAAACTGGGCTCCAAACCCAAAAATATAAATCTCTGAAATGATTCCCCAAAAAGGAATAAACCTCTCAAAGGGCACACTTTCATGGGAGCAAAAGGTACACACACAAATAATTTAAACTTTTTAAAAGAATAAAGGTGTCACAGGAATAAATAGCCTTTTCATCCAGCTGCCGTATATACAGCCATATATCTCTCCCGTGAGTCGCTAGTAACAGAAAACAGTTTTCATCCAAAAACTTTTCTCTGTGTACACAGAGCCTGTAAATCCTGGAGGGCTAGGCTAAAATTTCAACCGTCTGTTGGCAACACATACGTATATATAAAAGCTGTTATTGCTTTAATGTGTTTTTTGCTCCGATTTCTCCCTGGTGATGGTTAGGGAAAAGCGTTAGGGGTGATTCAGTAACTAGAGAGTGGAAGTATTAAAAGACATTGAAAGGAAACTGGCTTTTCCCAGCATCCTTCCTGTTCTTATTTTTCATTGTGTCTGGTGACTGGACCGTTCTAGGAGGCCATGCTGCCAAGTGGTTAGAACACATGAGTGGTTCTAGTCTTGGTTCTCTTATTCACTAGCTGGCAGCTTTCAAGTTACTTAGATCAAAGGGAGCCTCTGAATTTGCCGGCTTCTGCTTTTTGGGCTCATCTTGAGATACTTCGGGCTTGATTCTCCGAGGTGCTGGGCCCTACTTGAGTCCAGTTATGGCATGCGTCCTCCGGCGTCCATGCTAAAACGCTGATGCAATGTGGCAAGAGGGCTGCTCTGCTGTGGAAGATGCCATCTTCTGAGCACTTGTGGTAACAGAAGTATCCCAGCATTCCTTGCAGGCATCTCAAAGTGAACCCCCTAGCGTCCCAGGAAATTCCAGGTTGTTGTTTTTTTGTTTTGTTTTTTTGAGAGGGGAGCAACATTCTGGCTTCTTCAGGGTGTCAGCTTCAAACACTGACATCCCAACTGGTTTGGCCTTGAGAGGTGGTCTCCAAGGCAGGCCACGGGAGCTGAAATCATCTGAGGTACCAAAGCTCCTCCAGAAAGGGTTGGCCCAAACAGCATTTCCAGTTCATGACCCTCTGACTTCAGAACTCATCTGCCTCCTGATCTAATAGGGCCCATATTCCTTTTGCACTATTTCCCTCCCATAGCTGATAGTCTGAAGAAATGTAGCCAACAACCCCAAACGGAAGAAACAAGAAGTCCTGTGGCACCTTATAGATTAACAGATTTATTGGAGCATAAGTTTTTGTGGGAAAAGACCCGCTTTGTCAGATGCATGCACGAAAGCTCCACTAAATCTATTGATTCTATAACGTGCCGTAGGATTTCTCATTGTTTTTGCAGATTCAAGCTAACACAGCTATCGTTCTGATACTTGAACCCCAACCGGGGCTCCTGAATCCCTTAAATCAACATGGCCTATCTCAGTCACAGGCTTTGAACCCCTGAAGTTCCCATTGACTGGGTGGGGAGAGTTGCAGGTACGCTGAAGCTCAGATGTTTAAACAGGGCCTCCACAGCTGGAGGATAGGCAGCCAGATTTGAAGCTTTTGACCAATAGCTTTTGTTCCCGTCTTCCAGTGAGGAGTAACTCCACTGACATCTGGAGTCCCCTCCGTGTAAAACCACCCTCGGCGAAGGCTGTCCGGCCCACGGCACAGTGGCTGTGGTGATGTTACTCCTGATTCTCCATTAGTGTAACAAGGGTGTGACCTTCTTCCTACTGAAGTTTTTCTATTGAAAACATTATAAACCTTAGCCCCATAAGTTAAATACCACGGTGAGGTCCAACAGGCACCTTCCCCATGGTCTCATGAAGGATTGTGGATCTGCAGACAATAGTTTCCATGGCTTCAGGGTTATTTTTCTTGGAGCATCTGCATCTTCCTGTGAGTGTGGACACAAAGCAACCCCAGAGTAAATAATAAGGCCATTGTCTCGCTCCTCTCCATCCTCTGTGCTCCACACACCTGTGTCCGCTACAGTCGGAAGTGTGCATTGGAGAAGATATTTACATTTCTTGGGAGTCAGGATATTTACCCAAGATATGATTTCACATTACAGCAGTCAGCCTGTTAATCAGCTGTTTATTATATGGAGAAGCCAGGCAGCTGGCAGTGTTCACTTCCGGCTTCATGCAATATTCATGTTTTAACTTGCTCAGAGGGTGAGAAGCAGGTCAAACTCCATTACTCTTCGCGCGGAGCTCAGCCATGGCATATTCGGAATCTGCTGTTCAGACAAGGTGGAGCTGGAAAGCAAACTTTCGGCAGGAGGGACACCAAAGCACTGGAAACACAAGGCTGGATTTACCCCTGGGCTGTGTCTAGACTGGCAAATTTTTCCTCAAAAGCAGCTGCTTTTGCGGAAAAACTAGCCAGCTGTCTGCACTGGCCGCTTGAATTTCTGCAAGAACACTGACGATCTCATGTAAGAAATCAGTGCTTCTTGCGGAAATACTATGCTGCTCCTGTTTGGGCAAAAGTCCCTTTTGCGCAAAGCTTTTGCGCAAAAGGGCCAGCGTAGACAGCTCAGATTTGTTTAGTGCAAAAAAGCCCCGATGGTGAAAATGGCGATCGGGGCTTTTTTGCAGAAAAGTGCGTCTAGATTGGCATGGATGCTATTCCACAAAAAGTGCTTTTGCGGAAAAGCATCCATGCCAATCTAGATGCTCTTTTCCGCAAATGCTTTTAACGGAAAACTTTTCCGTTAAAAGCATTTCCAGAAAATCATGCCAATCTAGACGTAGCCTTGGTGTATCTCCATTGACGTCAATGGCCACCTGAGATGAATTTGGCCTAGGGACATGTGTGGCAAATCTTTGTCCCCCAAGGAAATCAATACCTAAAGCCAGAGATGCTTGATCCTGTGTGAAGAGCCCTTGCTTTGATCTAGCTGGTTAAGGGATCACTGGACCATGCTAGGGGCACTGTTAAAATTAACCCAAGGTGTTAACATTTTCCAGACTCCTGCAGTTTTCCATCTATATGTGTCGAGACCCGCACTTATGCAGGGGTTGCAGGTCACACGCTCTTTATCAATACCTAAAGCCAGAGATGCTTGATCCTGTGTGAAGAGCCCTTGCTTTGATCTAGCTGGTTAAGGGATCACTGGACCATGCTAGGGGCACTGTTAAAATTAACCCAAGGTGTTAACATTTTCCAGACTCCTGCAGTTTTCCATCTATATGTGTCGAGACCCGCACTTATGCAGGGGTTGCAGGTCACACGCTCTTTAAGATACATGTAGCATTCCTTCCAGGAGTGCTAGGAATGTAAATATTTGCCTATAGAAAGGCAGTGCATTTGCTGAGATTATAAATGCAAAAGTCCCCTTTTTTTGGCACCCTTTCACTTCCACACTGGCCTGATAGCAGGCAACATTGTCCCCTTTGAAATCAATGGGAATTTTGCCGTTCATATTCACTTCCATGTAGACCAGATTTCATCTTCGTTCCTAACTTGGTCAGAACTCAATTAGAGTTTTCCTGAGGGAAAAACAAAGATCCTTAACTGCCCCATAGATGGAAGGCTTACTCTGAGTGGGGCTCCCCCCTTCCTCTTGTGCGGAAAGGGTCAGCCACCTCCTTGGTGCCATCTTCTCCCTAGACCCCCATGAAGGCCTTGCCATGAGCTTGGGGGCAGCCATGCAGAGACAGGATGGAGATGGGGGTATCTGACACATAATGTCACCCCTCTATCCCCCTGGCCTTGTGTCATCTTCTCAACATGGTTCCCTGTGGGGCCTCTCTGGTACTGCAGCTCCCACAAAGACCTGGGGCCAGGTGGCGCACTATGGCCAGTGCAGAAGCTCAGGGCCTGTTCCCTGGGGAACTGCCAGGTTTGGGGACAGGCCTCCACAGACTGGTGGGGTGGTGGGAAGAGAGGTGAGGTTTCTGTGAGGGCCTCTTCTTAGAGATTTCTTCCCTCACAACCCCCTGCATGGGCCCAGGGCAGGTTTGGCCCACAGGGAGAAAGGACGTTGCCAGGTATTGCTAGGTGTAATGCTAACCGGCCTAGGTTGTTGGGATTGAACCCGGGACTTGTGGGTCTGATGCGACAAGGCTCTACCACAGTTGCTAGAGGCCAGCTTCCTCTTGAGAGCAGACTTCCTGCTCCCACTCAGTCGTCTCAGTGCCTCTGGGTTACACAGGGGAAAGAGCAAATTGCCTGCAGCCCCTGACTTTGCCAGACTCTCAGAGCAGGGAGATTTGGATAAACTTTGCCCTTCGGCCTGCAAACACTTCCCTTTGGCCCTGAGTGTCACCCAGCAGTTTCACCAACCCTTGTGAGACACAAGTCTTTCTACTAACCCAGAGTTAAGAAGCCAGCAGTACTAAAAGGAGCCCGCCAGGGCCTTAGCTGCGAAGGGCTGTTTGATTTGCACAAACAGAGGTTTTTATTCCTGCCCCTTGGGTTATCTCACTGAGCCGCTCTCACATCAGCCAATGAGGCCACTCAGGCTGCATCTACACTATGTGTTTTTGCAGCAGAAAATATGCTAATGAGGGGCTCATTAGCATAAGTCATGATCTCATCTGCATATTTCCTGCCGATCTGTTTTTACACTAGGGGTTTTTGTGCAAAAACAAGCCGTGTGGACATTTCCTTTTTGCACAAACCCCCCTTTTTGCGCATGATCCTTATGCTCCAAAAAAGGAGGTCTACCCATCTTGCGCAAAAAGGAAGCGTCCACACTGCTTGTTTTTGCGCAAAAACCCCTAGCGCAAAAACGGATCGGCAGAAAATATGCAAATGAGATTGTGACTTATGCTAAGGAGTCCTTCATTAGGATATATTCTGCCGCAAATGCTCGTGGTGTAGATGGATCCTCAGGCAGCTGTCCTGCACATGTGGTATCAGCCCAACACCTGCTAATTTGACAGGCCCTCACACATGTGGTCCCTGGTTCTGCAGCCATTATTCCTGCTCCGTTGCATTTCCATGGAGCACTGGGCGACGATGGGCAGCTGCGTCACGCCGTGAATATACAGCATGGGGAGTGTTCACACAGGGATACACAGCACACAGTGAAAGGGTTTTGCAAACTGGCAGCTAAACGCTGACCGTGCCTCTAAGGCACCTTCCCTCCCTGTATTTCAGACACTGCGGCACTAGTGACATTGCAATTAGCCCATCGGCTGGTCTGGGAGGTGAGACTTGTGCAGGGGGCGGGGCTCGAATAGGAGAAGAAGGCGGGGCTTAAGATGCAAATTGCTCACACACATGCACTTCCCCCACCCCACGCTTGCAGAGCGTATCCAGAAAACATGCCACCGCCTGGAGCTGCATTCAACCTGCTGTGGAGTCTCAGCTGCGGTTGGGCCCTGTTAACTTGACTCCATCACAGCCAGAGCTGGAGTGAGCCATAAACAGGCTCTGCAATGATGTACAGGTTGGACCTCCCTGGTCCGGCACCCTCGGGAGGTGATCCTTCTTGAATGAGGGAATTTGCCGGATCAGGGAGGTCCCCTGCCATTGGCCTCCCAGGATGCTCCCCCTTCTTGTAGCTGGCTCTGCTCTGGCACCACTGCCACTGGGGTCCAGCTTACAGGTCTTGGACTTGGGCTCCAGCCCACTAGGGCTCCCCGGGGACAGAGGTCCCAGGCTGTTCATGCTCCTGGGCACTGGGGCTCTCTGTTTCAGGGACATCGGTGGTCCTGCCAGACCAGGGATGTTGCTGGACCAGAGAGTCCTGGATCTCAGAGGTTCAACCTGTATGTGTTTGCAATATGTAAACTACATAGGAAGCAAATGTTTGTTTCAGATGAGCCCCATCCAGAATCTGTGCTCAGACCTCATCAATCTATTTACCTATGGAGCGGCCAGGGTATCGCTCAGGGCATGTCTACACTAGGAAATTATTTTGAAAGAACTACATTTGAAATAACTTCCTAAATAGCAAAATCGAAATAGCATGTCCACACTACGGGGGAGCCTCGAAATTAGTCCAAGGCAGGCTCCGTTAGTGTGGACACGCTTTCTCGACTTAGAGCCCTGGGAAACACTGGGGAATCATTCGTTCAAACTACTCCAGGGAGTAATTATTTTGAAATAGCGGCACCGGAGCGTCCACATCACCACTATTTCGAAAGAACTATTTCAAAATTAGTGTTATTCCTCGAGGAATGCAGGAGTACAGATTTCAAAATAAGCGGCCTGTTATTTCAAAATAACTGGCTCAGTAGTGTGGACTCTGCTTATTTCCAAATAAGGATGGGAGGGTATTTTGAAATAGCTCCCTAGTGTAGACCAGGGCTCTCTGGCGTATCTGAGCTCCCATTCCAGCCTTCAGAATTCAAGAAGACAACCCCTCAGCGGTGTCTGTTAAAGGAAAAACTCCCACTGAACCCAAAGACTGAAGAAGAACACACCAAAGGAGGCCCTGCACCAGAGGGTAGACTCACACACATTCGATTTCTTTAAGAAGTCAAAGCAGGGTATCCTTAGATAAAATCCATCCAACAATAGCCTCTTACACGACAGAGAGCCGGGCCGTGGCAAAGTGCTTTCTGTCACTTAGAAGCTACGTGCATTGACTTTCTGCATGCTCTGCCTGTGTTTTGTGTTTCAGATCGGAGCCTCCCTGATGTCAAGCAATGTGGGCAGTGGCTTGTTCATTGGCCTTGCCGGCACAGGGGCAGCTGGGGGTCTCGCCGTCGGAGGCTTTGAGTGGAATGTAAGAATCTAGGCTGGCCTGGAGTGGGTTACAAGGAGATGTGGTGGGGATTCCATGAATCAGTAGTTAATAGTGTTGTCACCCCCACCCCCACCCCCCAGGGCTCACAAGTCCTGAAACAGGCCTCCTAAAATCACGAGACTGGCTTAAAAATCATGAAATATAAAATGCATCCATTTTGTGGTTCAGTGTCTGTATCTTCTGCTTGCTAAACCTTCAGGGAGATCTCAGGTCAGATTTGTAAGTTTTGCTCTGCATCCAAGAAGGTTAGAAACCATGTTTTTAGGGGGAAGAGGAAAGTTGAGCTTCTCTCCAAGGCCAAGTCTACACAAGACACAGTAGTTCGGCTTAAGATATGCAACTCCAGCTACGTAGAATATGTAGCTGGAGTTGGCTTACTTTAAGCCGAGGCCGGTGGCATCCCCATAACGGGAGGCTGACGGGAGCAAACGCTCCCCTCATCTTCCCTGACTCCTCACAAAGCAGGAGTACCAGATGCCATCTGGGGCTGCCTTCTGAGATCGATTTAGTGAGTCTTAACTAGACTTGCTAAATCAAACTCCGGAGGATCGATCACGATAGCAGTGATCTTCCTGTTAGTTTAGACAAGGCCTTAGTAACAAGATTCCAGGATCTGGGGCTATAGGCAAAACAGCTCATCTTGCAAGTAATGCGCCAGCACTATGTTTTGAAAATAAGAGAGTGTATTCTTAGCACCCCTTCCTCCTGATATAATTATTATCAGCAGCAGCAACTCCTGGTCTTACTGCACAGAGATGAAAAAATAAGGGAGGTCTCTTGTAATAAAGGACTGTTGGCAACCCTTTCCCACAAGACTCACCATAAGGCCGCAAGCTCTAGCAACACTGTAATAACATTTCAGGTTCCAAAATGTGTGTGTCTGTGTTCAACAACTTGATGCAAATTGGGGGCTAATTCTGCCCTACTGAAATCGGTGGGAGGTAAGCCACTGACCCTTCTGGGAGCAGAAACACGGCCTAGTGCAAGAAGTATTACTAGATGCATTGGCTAGAAGTGAGTCCAATGCTAGTTTTCCTGCCACACACAATATTCTGATCACTCAAGATCTCTCCTATTCCATTCCCAGACTTCCTTTGATTGGGCCTGATAAGGATGCCAGATTCTCTCCGGAGGGCCAGTAGGGGGCCAACCAAAATCTATTTCCTTGTACATACTTTCACTCCAGCTGGCATTTTCAAAGCATCTACCGGAGTTGAGATTTGGGTCCCCTTGCAAATTCCAACTTGCACTCACAAGCCCTTTCCGCAGAACCTGGCTCCTGTGGGCCCATCTTCACACTGTTGGCAGCATTGGGATATTGTGATGGTCCCAGAGAACAAATGTGTCGCCAGTCATTTTAACTTCTCCATTTTGGCCAGGGCTGGATTTTGGAGCAGCAGGGTGTAGTGGGAGAGAGTACTTTAAATCTCCCAAAACATGCATCCTCTGAAGCAAATGATCCATTTCGTTGCTGGGTCTGCCGCTTGTTTTACCATGTGCAGGCGCAGATCCAGGAAGTTGTCCTGAGGTCTTCCTGTCGATTCTCTTTCTGCTGCTCTACTCCAGTCTGTTCATTCAGCATCCCCCTCTGCTAATCGAGCCATAGTGGCCTGTAAAAACCATGAGCTGCTCAAAGCTGAGAGAGCCTGAAGGTCAGTTAGGCCCAGATCCTTCAAGGCAGGGGTAGGCAATAATTTTTTGAAAAATGTTTGAAGTGGACCCTGGCTATGCCAGAAGGGGCAGGACCTCAAAGAGACGAGGCGGGGCCAGGATGCTTCCAGGCTTCCCCAACCCATGATTGGTCTGGGGGTGAGGGATCCCCTTTGCCCCCCCTTCCCACTAAGCTCCCATACCCCTGGCAGTGGGAGGAGACTTCCTGTGCTCCTCCACCCTGAGGCAAAGTCTCCTCCTGCCCTGCCAGGATCCTGCAGTGCTCCAAAGTGCCTCATGCTCCTGGCAGGGCAGAGGAAACTTCGTGTGCTTCTCCCCACGCCGAGGTCCTAATCGGCCTGGGGGCGAGGAGCGGCAGGGCCTCCGTGGGCCAGATCCACCCGCTTGGCAGGCTGGAGACTGCCTGCAAAGGCCCTTTTTCCCACCTCTGCTCCAAGGTTTTTGGCTTCTACTGTCCTTAGCTTCTGGGCACGAGTGACAGCATCCTGAGCCCAAAGGTCTCCCGATATGACATCTCCTTTTATAGACCTAGGTGCAATGAAATGGAATCTTTCCAAGGAGGCACGGAAGTGGAACAGGATCTGGCAACCTATAAAAAGAGAGACACGAGAGACCTCGAAAGGCTTGTTGCTGTACCGACAGCAGTGTTCACCGTGTTCTCATTCATCCATCTACCACCTTGTCTTTCAACCCCTGCATCCCGGGACCCTTGCCTTCCTGTCCAATAAAGCAGTCTCATTCCCTGCCTTCGAGATGCCATATTCGCATACTGTCCAGTATCTTCCAGTATTTAGATTCATGGAGGTTATGTCCATCAATGGCTATTAGCCAGGTTGGGTAGGAATGGTGTCCCTCCCCTCTATTTCTCTGGAGGTGGATGACAGAGGAGGGATCATGTGATGATCACCTGTTGTGTTCCCTCCCACTGGGGCATTTGGCATTGGCCACTGTTGGCAGACAGGATAATGGATTAGATGGACCTTTGGTCTGACCCAGTATGGCCGTTCTTATGTTCTTATTTTCTAAAGTGTCCACTGTGGACAGCCTACTGCATGTGTTTAATTATGGCCCTTTCTTTCCTCTCCTCCCCATTGCCAGGCTACATGGGCGCTGCTGGCCCTCGGCTGGATTTTTGTGCCTGTTTACATTGCCGCCGGAGTTGTCACCATGCCTGAGTACCTGAAGAAGAGATTTGGAGGACAGAGGATTCAAATCTACATGTCCGTACTGTCCCTCATTCTCTATATATTCACCAAGATATCAGTATGTATCCCATTGTTAAAGCAACATAGCATCTTCAGCGAGCTGGCGCACAGACATACACAGAACAGTCGCTCTGTGAACCTTACACTCACAGTAAAAATAATGAAGGGATTGAATATGCACCCTAAGTGCATCCTCGCCTCCCTCGTACTCCTCCCCATATATCAGACAGGAGCCTCCGCTGGTGTAAATTAGCTTAGCTCCCTTGACTAGGAGGATCTGATCCCTTGTATCTTGTGTGGATTAAATTCTTTGCAGAAAAGCTTGTTATTTTGAAATAACGGGATGGATTATTTTGAAATAATAACTCCTGCTTTCCACGAGGAATAGCACTTATTTCGAAACAGTTATTTCAAAATAGCGTAAGTGTGGACACTCCACTTCTGCTATTTTAAAATAACTACTCCCCAGAATTATTCAAAGTCATTACTATTACTCCCCAATGCTTCCTGGGACTCAAAGTAGCACGTCCACATTAAGGGAGCCTGCCTCGGACTAATTTAGAGGCTTCCCTGTTGTGTGGACACACTATTTTGAAATAGTTATTTTGGGAATTCATATTTTGCAATAAGTTATTTTGAAATAATTTCCTAGTGTAGACATGCCCTAAGGGAAGGTGATGGGAGCATTTTCTCCTGTCGGCTTCCCTCTGTGAAAACCGTGCCATACTCAGCTTAAGTTAAGCCAACTCTAGCTACTTATTTTCCATAGCTGGAACTCCAGCTACATATTTTATGTAGCTGGAGTTGCGTACCTTAACCTGAACCCTCCAGGTCTAGTGTAGACCTGGCCTCCTGTCCATCCACCTAGATCCGTGGTCCCCAACACGGTGCCCGCGGGCGCCATGGCGCCCGCGGGGGCACTTGCATGCGCCCGCCAAGTGCTCGGGGCTGGCCTGGCCCTGGGCCCCAGGCGCGCGGCGCTTGCGGGGG